ATGGCGGGTGTACAGACTGAGTAACTCGGCACAGAGTTCTCACCCATTGAGTCTTCCAGAAACATATCAGTTCTGGCTGCAGTGAAACACGATGCTCCTCACCAGATAAACATCCATTAAACGTCTTGCATTTATCTTCTGCAGATGAAGGGGTGTCCATACCACACTCTGCTCCCTCATCGTTCAAGGGACCATTACCGGAGATCTCCACTTTGTGTCGTCCCATTTGCCCGGAGCTCCCTCGCCCCGGTAAGCGGAAGAGACGCCCGCCCCAGCGGCGGACCAGCGAGCAGCAGCCGGATTCAGACAGCGACGAAGAGGAACCAAATCACCGCCTACCCTGCCGTAACCCACCATCGCTGGGTGTGACAGGGGAGAGGAAGGATTGGACGGCGCAGGATCGGTTGTATCAGTGCGACCTGTGCGAGAGGACCTTCAGTGACCTCTGTAACCTGCAGGAAACGATCCTCTCCTGCCCACAGTGCGGTGGCTCCCTGAACCCTCTTCCCAACCAGCCGGCCGACACGGGCCATACTCAGACGCTGAATTTCTCCGAGCCCGGCTCAGACACCGGCCTCCCCCGCCCATTGCAAGGACCGGTGGGGTGAGCTGCCGGGTCCTAGTTCAAACCTCCACACTGGATAATTTATTGATTTTTATCCTCCGCAAAGACTAATGGGTACCAGTCACACGTCTTCCTGTTACAGGAGAGGAAAATTCCCATCTATAGGATGTGGCAAACGTCGGACTGCAGGAGCAATGCAGCGTCCGTTTCTAGGAATGCAGTGTATCTTCCTATCCTTACTGGTTCCACCTTCCCTCTGCTCTGCACTGCCAGCTCTGCCGAATGCTTCCAACGTTCTTCCACTTTGCCACTAGACACACGGATGTTTTAGAGTATTTTGTTTTATTTTAGACTGTCATGCCGCACTGAATATTTCTGCTTCCACTTTTCCGCAGACCATTTCATTATATCGATGCTTGAGGGAAGGTTCTGGTTGAGTATCTGTAAATGTAAAGCTGAACTCCATCCAGGAGAAGTATAAGATCAATAACAAGGTGCTTCCTTACCTTGTACAAAAACCTTGTTCTTCCACTCTTTAATGTCCCCCAAACATGCCCCTAATGCCCCCTTTAATGTCCCCCAAACATGCCCCTTATGCCTGCTGTTGGTTGGTTTCCTCCTGCATGTAGCTTAGAGAAGGAAGCCGTGCCATCTGTGGGTGGGTACAATCTCCCCTGGAGAAAGAGAGAGAAGGTTCAGGACTGTCTGGGATCCTGGTGTGCAGCTTTAAAGGAGAACTATGAGGCGCCTGAAAATCACTCAGCCTCATAGTTCTGGCTGACCTGCGACAATGAAACTGTCACACGCCGGCTCAATAGATCGGGAAGGGAGCGAACACATAGCGTCGCTCGCTCATTTCTCGATACTGTGCAGGCCGAGAGTGATGACTGTCACTCGCGGCTCCCCGCAGGGATTTAGGGTCACAGGAGGACATATACTAATGTCCTCCCGTGACCCAAAGCTCAGTATATCGCAAGCTATATACTGAAGCCCGTGCAGAGCGAAGCAAAGCTGTCCGGCACGGAGCTTTACGTGCAGTGTGTGAGCCGAGTGCAGGCAGATGATTGCACCTTCAGCCAATTGGCTCGCGCGTAACAACCGGCCGGACGGCGCATCCTGACGTACGAGCCGATTGGCTGAAGATGACATTTTTCAGCTCGGCACGCTCAGCTACGCAAGCTCTCACAAGCTGACGTGCCAGGGTGAAAATTACATGACACACTGCTCGCAAAGGCAGCGCGCTGTCTCGCGTGCAGTGTGTCACAGCCTTGAGAGTGCCGCAGCCGGGACGGTTCCCTGACTGATGGTCACGGTTCTCTGCAGGGAGATGATCGAGAAGTGAGCGAGCGCCGGTATGTGTTCGCTCACTTCCCAATCCATAGAGCCGACGTGTGACAGTCTCATTGTCGCAGGTCGGTTTGAACTATTAGGATGAGTGTAGATCACTCACCTCCTAGTTCTCCTTTTTAAGCCTTGTAGTGCCGGGGCAGCCCCACTCCTGGAGTTCTTCTTTAAAGGGCAGCTCCAGGCAAGCCACTGAAACGCACACGTAGAAAATGTTTATTTCAGATTTGTAACGTACCACTGTAATCCCTTCCTATCCTTGCGGGTACTATGCAGCTACATACAGTGAGGGTGAAAACAACTTTCAGAGCCTTTGTTCCGCAGTCCCATCTCTCATCTGCCCTTCGATCCATTAATGACGTCACCTTAGTCTAAGCCCATATAAATACCTATAACCTTACAAAGCAGACCCTCCCACTGTAAGCCTGATTTCTGTTCTCCTGCGTCGTCTGGATGGGAAAAAAATAATTTCACGATATTAGTAGGACTCTTGTCGGCGTGTTGTATTTATAGATGTGCTCGGAGTTGTCCTTCAAGTTCATCGTTGGGGAAGAGTTGTGAGAACGGAAGGTCAAAGTGAGAGCATTGGGAGGGTTGGTAGCAAGCCGTGTTGGAGAGCGGTTCTCGGGCCTCTGATGTGCCTTAGCGTAAGATCCCGTTCTTCCCGGAGTCCTCAAAGGGGGGGGCAGATTGGATGGAGGCTGTTGTGATGTCACAGTTTTGTTAGCAGGCCAATGAGGTCACCGTCATTTCTCATTCTAACCAACAGACATAACATCGCAATGTCTTCCTCTCTCCTGCCATCTGCAGGAGGGACGGCTTCTGGGTGCATTAGTAGGCAGACGTATCTGCTCCACCTATCATCAGATGCCTCCTTTTCAAATGGGTGACGGGTGTTCTCGTGGTGCCCACGCGCCAGTCAGAAATGTCTTCCATCATTCTCCTCTGGACTCTCAATTTTACATATTTCCTGTTTGCTGTATGTGTGTTTCTACATGTATTGTGGGGTGCGAAGTGTGCTGTCATCATTGTATGGATGTTGTATGTGCCGTGACCCATAAGACAGGGCCACCGTGTGCAGCTTGGCCGCCCCGGCAGATCCTGTCTCATTCCCCTTTAATTTTGTTTCTGATTATAGAGAATGAGTCGGTTTTGTGTACAGTCTGGAAATAAGATACCCGAGTAAGACTACACTCTTCCCATGCACTCCACGAAGATACGTACACCGGACTCTGATATCCTCCGCTCAATTATTTATATAGAAAAAGTCACATCACCTGCCTGAGCCTTGACATGTTCACCCTCCTGTTGTAGAGGGTGAAACGTGTTCCACCTAAGCCTAGTGATGGCTGAAATGCGTCGGCAGGAGCGGAAGCCGGAGATGTGAATAAACAATGGAGTGGAGCATGTTGGAGTGCAGTGTAAGGATCTGCCTTGAGCATATTGGCTGGTGAGGATGGACCTGTATGGAACCAACACCTGGGGGTGGAGAGGCCGTACTGCAGAGATCCAGAGTTCAGAGTTATGGGGTTATGAGTCTTCCTGTAACAAAGGGAAGGGAGTCAATGCAAGCAAGTATACTTTGGTTGGTCTGCAAAATGCTGAGGTTGTTGTCACCGGCAGTGAAAGCAAGTTCTCTGTTGGCTGATACACGGTATGGTCAAAGTTTTGTGGACACCTGACCATCACATCTATGAACTTTTGTACATCTTATTCCAAAACAATGGCCATTAATATGAGGTTTCCTCCCCCCTATGGTCATTTATATGGGGTTGCCTCCCCCTATGGTCATTTATATGGGGTTGCCTCCCCCCTATGGTCATTTATATGGGGTTGCCTCCCCCCTATGGTCATTTTATATGGAGTTGCCTCTCCCTATGGTCATTTATATGGGGTTGCCTCCCCCTATGGTCATTTATATGGGGTTGCCTCCCCCCTATGGTCATTTTATATGGAGTTGCCTCCCCCCATGGTCATTTATATAGGGTTGCCTCCCCCCATGGTCATTTATATAGGGTTGCCTCCCCCCTATGGTCATTTATATGGAGTTGCCTCCCCCCTATGGTCATTTATATGGGGTTGCCTCCCCCCTGTGGTCATTTATATGGGGTTGCCTCCCCCCATGGTCATTTTATATGAAGTTGCCTCCCCCCATGGTCATTTTATATGAAGTTGCCTCCCCCCATGGTCATTTTATATGGGGTTGCCTCCCACCTATGGCCATTTCTATGGAGTTGGTCCCCCTCCCTTTGTAGCTTTGGGAATTTGTGCCCATCTGTGAGGTCAGGTACTGATGTTGGATGAGAAGTCCTGGCTCACAATCAGTGTTCCAGTTCGTCCCAAAATGAGGTCTGGGCTCAGTGAAGGACACACCAAACTGGTCACCCCATGTCTTTATGGAGCTGGCTTTGTACACAGGGGACAGTCACGGTGGAACAGAAAAGGGTCTTCACCAAACTTACCATAAGGTTGGAAGCACGCCATTGCCTAAAATGTCTTTGTATCCTGTAGGTATTACCAGCGCCCTTCCGTGGGGACACCTGACCTCAATCGTTTGGATGGGGGGGAGGTCCACAAACTTTTGGCCATGTTCCATGTTGGTAGGTGTGATGGTCAGGTGTTCACAAACCTTTATAACCAATATAACGTAGCTCACCAGAAGTCAGCATCATGTAGACATTGCACACCTTCTCCTGAGCAGGCGAGAAAATGATCATCGATGTGCACTGGGCCCATCACATAAAATGTTTTAAATTTAACCCTTTTGTTTGCTGGACCAATTTGCTCCTTTTTTTGTTTGTTTGTTTTTTACACGCTTGCAAAATCGTTGATAGACAACTTAAAACCCTATACACCCCATTGATTTAGAGTTAACCCCAAATTATGACCTTAGAGTGAATGCTCTTACTCCAGCATGTGTGGTGATACCTAGTATGCAGTCAATTTATTTTATACTTCAGTTTTTTTGTTTTTTCTAAAACTTTTTATAGCATTGGGTAAGTGACAGGTACTCTTTATGGAGACATCAGGGGTCTTTTAGATCTCCCTGCACTCTGCCCAAATAGATTTACAATAAAAAGTCCCCAATTTCCTCTTTAATGGCCAGGGCTTGAACCCGGAGGTGCTCAGAGCTGAGCGCCTCCAGGTTCACCGTCTGCAGAGGGGATCGAGGAATGCCATACTTATGTTTGTTGTGGTCCTAGGCTCTCAGGAGGAGTGGGTAGGATCTGGAACCACACGAAAGGGGTGTTGGAGGCGGATGCACCTATGACCGCCTGACCACATGGCTTTGCAGGCACCCAGATCACTATTACTGAACAGCCTGCAGATGAAGGGAGACACAAGCTTAGGTCTGCGATTGTGGCCATGAGTTTGTCTACATCCCATTACTGCCATTGCCAAAGTAGTTACCGAAGCATTAAATGGGTTCAACTGGCAAGCCAAGTGGGCTACATGCCCCATAGCTCTGTAAGAAGCCTTGAAGTGTTTCCCTCTGCCCTGTGGGGTACAGACCATGCGAGCCGGGCCGTAACAAGGAGGTAAGGTTCATGTATAAAGCCTCCAGTGATCCGGCTTCCCCGTAGCTGCCAGTTCTTCTCTTTGTGATATTACACGCATGTGTGTCAGCAGACGGTGAAGCATGCGCAAAGGCCAGAGCGATTCAGCTAAAGTGTGCATGTGCCCCTGAAGGCTGATAAT